ATAAGATAGAGAAAAATATTTTTGAAATAATGGAGACAAAGAAGGGCTTATCTCCAAATAAGATCTTTAAATTTTGAAAAAAAAATATATAAAATATATGATCAAAACTGAGTTTGATAGGAAAATAAGGTTTATACCTTGTGATTTAAATCGGATTTTATTCTAAAAATCAAACAATCAATTTTAACAACATATTATTTGGATTTCATAACTTTTCAATTACACTTTTCAAAATTTTTTATTAAAATTTATTAAAAATTTAGGAGGTATTTGAGCCTCATTATTTTGATAATAATGCATTCTTAAATAGTATATTGATGGGAAATTGTGGTTAAAAAATAAAGAAATTTTTTTTTATCTACGTGTAATATATTATTAAGAATATGTGATTAAAATGATTTCAAATTACTATTAAAAAATGTATTTTTTTTAAAATAACGTGGTTCAAACAGCTCATTAATCTTAATCTCCAAGGACTTAAAAATTAGGCCAAAAGGAGGCGGGGGGACACAAAATCACATTAATGCGTAGGGTGTCGAAGTTAAACTTGAAGAGAGAGTTATGAGGCAAGGGGGATGTACTGACGTGGGTAGTAGCATGGAATAACGTGCACAGGAGAGGGGCCGGCCGGTCGAGTGGTAACACAACACGTCATCTGTTGAATGTCCCGACAAAAGTATCGAATGCCGATGTCTGAATTCTGAAAATATTTTCACATTCTCCAATAATAATAATTAAATATTCACTTCACTTCTTTTAATTATTATTATTATCTTATTCTATTTTTCTTTTTGTTTTTAATTTGCAATTTTTATCTCCGTTAAGGAGGAAAAAAATATTTTTTACATAATTGTTTAATATGAAATTTAATAAATAAATGAACATTAATATATTTCAAATAATAATTTCAACTATTAAAATACAATCAATTTCAATAGGTAAGCGACAAAGTTTCAGTATTCCATTAAATCCCAATAGAAGACAACCAATACTAATATAACAAGTCATTCCTTAGTTTAGAAGTGAGATGAAAGTCGAAACTTGATATGTCAATTTATCGAGGAAAGTGAGAAAAATATTTTAAAAATAATATAGTTGAGGAATTAGTAGCAAATGGTCAATGACAGGACTATTTTACCCAAAATGCTTTTTACTAATATGATTAAAATATATATATATTTTTTAAATGAAATTACTCAATATACGCCTCTCAATTCTAAACCCTCACATAACCCAAAACCCACTGTAAAATAAATAAGCCCTCGTCCCATTACATGGCAATTATAATTTTTGAAATAGTATTTTTTGGAAAATGTATGTTTGAAAAAAAAAATGTAAAAATTTTCGATTTACATGTAATATTATTTTATTGAATATTATGTGATTGATAAATTTTTGAAATAAAGGGGACCAAGCGGGGCATAAATTTCATCACCTACCATAAGATCGAAGACTAGGAATTCAAATATTGAGTCAAAATTGTGGGGGAACTCTTCTTTGACATCAGTTAATCTTGAAAACAAGTACATGTCTCATTTCAAGGTTAGAATACGACCTATCAAACTTTTTTCAAACTTATGGTTATTTTTCTTCCTTTAATTCGTTTTAGGTTAGAAATTGTATATATGTATTATAAAAGTTTAAATTTGTGCATTGTGGTTTTAAATTGATTGTGAATTTAAATTTCTAGATGTGTTCTTCACCGACACCGACCATTAAACTAGTTAGGTTGGTGAAGAAGAATTTAGGCACAAAATTCATCGAACCAAAATGTTGTTGAATGAGTATTTTAGAGACAAGTCTACCGTTACTCCTGTGTAGCTGAAAAATGCAGATGACGGACGCATCATGATGGAGGAAAAATACAAGCTCAGTTTGGTATATATCCTAGAAGTTGTGTTAAGATGTAACACCATAAGACATTGATCGATCTATATTTCTTGGGTGTAGTAAACAACGTAGATATATTCAACACATATCCATGAGATCGAATGTAATTTATGTTGGAAAATGGTTATTGAAATATGTCAATTTTGAGCCTAAATTTCAGTGGGATTTTTACTTTAATTTTAACGGGACCTAGCATATTCATGTTCTACTCCGCGAGATAATTAACGTGATATATTTGCCTATCGAAAACCATTTAGAATTGAATGAAATATTTAATGTCAAAATAATCCCCTTGAAACTATGAATTAATAAATAATTTGATTTGTCAAATACTTATCCCACATAAGAAAGTTAGGAAATTTTGGTTTGGTTTATATGGTGAAAGTTTGGGAATTGATTTGGGGTCCCAAGAGGCACCAATAGTGTTTATAAGGGGGAAATCTATATCCTATCAGGTTTGATTATAAACCTACACGCGCACCGTCGCCAACTGACTTGGCACAAGTCTGGGT